ACTGACCCCTGGGGGACACCACTAGCTACAGGCCTCCAACTTGACTCTGCGCCATTCACCACAACCCTCTGAGCTCGGCCATCCAGCCAGTTCTCAAGCCACCTCACCATCCTCTCATCTAACCCACACTTCCTGAGCTTGCTTATGAGGATGTTATAGGAGACAGTGTCAGAAGCCTTGCTGAAGTCCAGGTCGACAACATCCACTGCTCTCCCCTCATCTCCCCAGCCAGTTGTCCCATCACAGAAGGCTATCACATTGGTCAAGCATGATTTCCCTTTGGTGAATCCATGCTGACTACTCCTGATGACCTTCTTGTCCTCCACATGCTTAGTGAGGACCTGCAGGAGGAGCTGTTCCATCACCTTTCCCGGGATGGAGGTGAGGCTGACAGGCCTGGAGTTCCCTGGCTCCTCCTTCTTGCCCTTTTGGAAGACTGGGGTGACATTGACTTAATTATTTTTCTGCAACAGAAATAGTTTATTTCACTGGTGGTTCAGAAAATACACTTATAACAGAATCACATTTGCACTCTGCTTAAGAATAATGCATGGGATTGGGTGGTAACTGAGGTATCACAGAAAAATAAGGTTACATTCATTTAATATTTATACTGTGATTTTTGTCCCACAGATTTAGCAAATGAAAGAAACTATTTCAGAAGCGCAGAGTACCTGACACATCAAAAGTGCAGCTTGTCCTGAGGCACTGTGAAAAGTTTTGTTTTTTTTTTTCCCCCTGTGGCTATTGCAATCAAATAGGTAGCTCCTCAGCCAAAATCAAGTACAGTATAAACAGCAAACTTAAGCAGTAGGAAAAAAAAAAGGCTTTTTCTTTTGATACAGTGGAAGACCTAATTCTCATTTAAAGCTCTGTCATCACCTACCTGTCTTTTCTGTATCTTTGAGAATAGAACATGCTCCTGAACAGGGACAAGTGTCTAATGGAAGATATATTGTAAGAGGGCATGTTGTTATGACTTCAGCAATTATTTCTTCCATTTATCTTCACTACCACATAGAGCTACTGTCAAATCTGGTGGAATAAAAATTAGCTCTGAGGAAAATCTTTAACAGATGGCACAAAATGATTTTTCACTTTGATTGCAGAGATATTGCAATAGTGCCTAGAACCACAAGATGGCACTGCCCTTAAATAGACAGCAGGCGTGCTTAAATAGACAGCAGGCGTGCTTAAAGGCAAAACCAAAAAAAGCTTTAGAAGAAGAGGGCTTTACTTTGTTCAGAAAGAAAGAGAACTTCTTGGAAGAGATGATGGAATGAGGACAAGGAAAAACAAATGTGCTTTTTATATATTTATTCTAAGGTTTTATCACAGTTTGGTTATTTCTGTGAAATACATAAGAGTTTTAGAAAAAAGCTTTACTGTATGGTTATTGTTGTGAAATATGAGTTTTAGGAAAAAACACTTTCCTATCAATTGTAGTGGATTCTATCATAAGTAGTGAGATGTGCTCCATCTCGTAAATTAAATGAATTATTGGCACTGGACTGACTTGAGCACTCTTTAATGAACCACAGGCAGCCATGCTGCTGAAGTACCTCAAACCTATGACTGTAAAAGGGGAAATGCAGTTTCTGGGGACTGACTGGCCCTGGTCCGTGCCCTTATCAGAAAGATTATCCGAAAATAAGCACTGTCGTGTCTGTATTTGAGCACTGCCAATCAATCATCAAAGTGAAATTTCAAAATTTGTTTCTTGTAGGCTGCTGCACAGTGATAATTATGGATCTAAACTCCCTAAGATGCTTTAGAAGCAGAATAGTCCTAGACAACAGATTATTGTGTGATTATTGTTCATTTCTGTGAACTTTTTCATGCTACATGGTAAAGCTGAAAATCTGAATCCTTTATAGGAAATATTCTGACACAAAGCAACTTTTGAAATAGGTCAACACTGAAAGCAAATACTATGTTTTCCTATACAATAAATTTTGTAAGTAAAGCTTTTTCAGTAATTTGAAAATCTTCGTATCTGCTTCCCTAGGGTTCCTAGGTATTAGATTCAAATATATATTTGCAATTAAATTGTAAACTGCACTTTTTGTTTTCCTGCAGTAATTTTTCAATGAACTGTTCATCCATTGTTAACCTGAAAGGGAAGTTGGTTAAAGAAATGTGATGTTTAGGCCACTAGCAAGCTGGTCATATATTCAGATGTAGCCAGAGTTATTCTGTATAGTACGGAATCCTATTTGCTCTGTGCTCTGTGCCGTCATTACTTTGAATAATACAGCTGCTATTAATACAGAAGTGTCAGTGGTGGAACAGCCTCTTCTACGGTTACCATTCTGCTAGAATAAAAATGATTGATTTACTCATTGTTTGAATCACCTACTAGCTACAAGCTGCTGCTCTTGAAATATCATAAAATAGGGGGTCTCTGAAGCGCTTTTCCTGTATTAACTTTCTGAAAGTAATTTAAACTTCTAGTTTTGTGAACCAGGTGAATTGACGGTTACACCCAGATACACACAACTTGTAGCTAGCAGTTGCTTTGAAGATCTAATTCTTCTCTTCAAGTGAATAGCAGCAAAATTACATTATAGAACTACTGTGTGATTCACTTTAGATAACGTCAAGAAATCTTTAACATCTGTCTAGTTTTTAATTGAAGAGACTTGCATAGAAAAATTACACACTTCTGTTGCTAAATTATAAGTCATAAGCCAAAACTGTCCAACTTTTATAGAATGTGATGGACATACCTTTCTAACATATCCTTGATTTCTGAGTTTTAAAATTATATTCTTGTACTTTATTTTAGGAAGAAAATATGACCATAACAGAGGATTTTAGCAGACTAGAAAACACTTACCAAATGGAAGCGGAGGTAGGTAAAAAAAAAAAAAAAGCGCCAGGGACCAGTGGAAATGTGCAGACTGTCTTTCATCATGACTAGGAGTAACTGTTCGCTACAGTACAGGCAGCATAGTCCAAAGAAACTATTGAAAGACTGCCAATTAAAGTGGCATCATTTGGTTGCAGCCTGCTGTTTTGTGCCGAATATTTGCTCACTGCTACCATAATATAAAAAAAATTATTTTCTTCTCAGATGAATATGTATTTTAAATGTTAGATGATGCTATACAAGGGAATATTGTGTTCTAGGACCCTAAGGCTGTCGTTCTGTGGCAGTGTAAGCAAACACAGGTTAGTGTCCTATCATTCTGCTCTTTCGTTCACCCCTTGCCATTCCTGCCCTCTACTTTTTGCCAGGAGTTGTACCTATGTGATTAGTTGATGGGTTACTTCAGAAAGCTCCCCACAAAGTGATTATTTTTTCCATTATTTCAGCTCCCTGAACTGGAGGCAATGCAAGGCAGAGGACAAGAATGGATGGGGGACAAGAGTGGCACCCAGTCTAGATCTGCTAAAGTCACAGTTGAACAGCACACAGACCTTGGGTCTATTCTACATGACTCTGCCATCAGCCTGCTGCAAGTAAAGCAGAGCTAATTGTTTCCTAGGTAATTCACTTTGAATTCTATCGGTAAAAAGTGCTGTGTGAAAACTATATATGATGGGAATAATCCCATTAACTTCAGAAGTGGCCCAGAGGAGTGCAGTTTTGCATGTTCATGCTATAGCAAAAAGTAAATGTTGCTCTAGAAACATTCACTGAGGGAAATGATGTGTTTTCAGTCAATGAATTTTTTCAGTGCATCCAACTTTAATGACTACCCAGTAACTTTACATATTCTTATGAAGTAAACCTGGAAGTCTGCAATGGAATGATAGCTATTTTGTTGCTACTTACAATTCCCTAAAGCAGGGTTCAGCCTCTTTGATTTGTTTTTTCATTCGTTTTAAGGCATGTTCTCATCCAAATAACAACAATAAATACAGAAATAATTGAGAATTTGCGAAAGACAAGTTGGAGTTAAAAATGAGTCCTCAGCTACTTAAATGATATATGTTAGTGTCATGTTCTGAATTTTAACTTCCTAATGTAGACAAGTATTGTAAGGAAAGCTGAAATTACCAAGTCTTCTAAATAAGCTCTACTTGAAAAATTAATAGAACTATATCCAGTTATTATTTAGACTATAGACAAGCTTAGGCTTACAAACTTCAGTCTTAAGTGGTAACTTAATCAGTCATCTCCCTTTTCCTGCTATTAATTTTCATACAACAAAGCTTGTAACTGGAAAAACTAATTACATGGATCGAGTGATTGTTTGTAGATGATATGTGCCAGCTGTAATTGCTGTTCAAAATTTGTATGGTTGCGTAGAACTGGGAGTCTGAACTTGAAAATCTACCCATAAGGCTGCTACTTTGGCTGTCTTGTACATGTAAGTAGCAGTATGGTAGCTCTTTATGCAGAGATTAGTTTCTCCTTCCCTCCCCCTATATTTAAGCATTAGTTTTGTTAGTCCAATAATAAACCAATTCATAAACCAAAGAAGTTCCATTGACCATTGCATTTGACTACTTTAGCAATATAAATGGATTTAAAATTAATTTAAATTGGCTTCTGTACCAGTGAGTTTGCTATTATATTTGGGTCATACATGAAATCTCAAAAGTCATGTTATAGGCTATGAACTCTTTTTAGCCTTTTTCTATGTTAAGAGTTTTTAGAAGACTAAAGAAATTTTCAGATAAATACCTATTTTAAGATATAACTAAGAATTCAAGATATACTTTCAATTCTAAGGAGGTAAATTTCAATTCACTTTATAATAAAGGGAAATATGTAGAAGACTGAGGTTTTGTATGAAAACACAGAAGTCTAAAATATCTTAATTATAATCGTATATTTATTGCATCACATCTCATGGGATAAAGATAAGGTTATTTTGTGCATTTTGTAATATACTTGCCTTTTTAAAAACTGCAATGTCTTGTCCTTTTACAGCCTGACCCAAACATTATAACGTGCCCACAATGCTTTTGCTAACCATCACACTATTTTGTTTACATTTTATAACCTTTATTCAACCATAATTATACGGAAGAAATTGAAACAATACTTTGCATTTTAGTGCTCAAGTATCCTTAGTGAATTTAAGTAGAATTTATTTGATCTAGCTGTAAGTAATCTAAGTGAAAACTGTGATTTAAAAAAAATGAACAAAACTCACACAACCGTTGCTCTGTTGTTTTCTGCCCCAAAGCTGCCCGTCTACGTGCTTCTTTTTTGAAAATAAAGTTCCTGAGTGCCCAGAACTGTCCCAATCTGAGCAGCTTATCTCTTGCTTAAGACCCACAATTCTTTTCTTTGATTGTTCTTTGATCTTCTTGAGGGAACTAATCTTGTAAACACTGACAACAGTCCGGAAAACACTGTGATGGAGCTCGCAGTGAGACTGTACTTTATGCTTTTCCACCACGTACAATTATGACAATTTTCTTACAAAACGCAGCACAAAAAGGTATGTGTTTTTTATATATGGGGAGAGCTTTCACTGAAGAAAGAAATCTAGATTCAGTTTCATCTTCAATCTTGGTTCAAATCCATGTTGCACCTTCCAGAAAGTGCTCCAACTACCATGTTACAAGTAGAGGGTGTGTAACTTCAGATGAGGAGGCAGACTTGGTGCAGTTTTGCACAACAGACTTGCCCTTCTGTCCTTGTAGCGGATGGAAGCGAAGATACGGAGCCAGTGCAAGGATTATAGCCAGGGTGAAGGGAAGTGCACTACACTGAGACAAGCTACCAAGTCTAACAAGATTTGTGCATTAGTTATTTTATGATAGTTGTCAGTATCCATATTTACCTACCATATTTACCTTACCCTGTATGTGAAGTAGTTCTCCCCTCTCTTACTGAGGGATAAATTTCCATGTGTTACCTCTTTTTTCACAAGGTGGTAATGCACACAGGAAGTAACTGCAGAGCAGCTGATACGCACTAACCTGAATTTCTGTGCAATATACCTCAACTGGGATAGATTGCTTCACGGAGAACGTGTGCTGTACCTCACATGAGTTTGCAATGGAATTTTCTGTGCCACGGCTTTCTTCTTTCCTTTCTGTTGAAGCTGTATTAACGTGCAAAGAGAAATGGAAGAGTCAGGTATAAGAGAGAGGAGAAGGCTGACTTAGTGATGGTGAGAGCACTCAACTGGGAGGTGAAGATAAGGATTTGGTCCTCCTAAAGAGGAGTTTGGGACCTGGGATTTCTGCTTCCTGAATGCTCTGACAGCTGGGCGTCACTGGTTCACTGCTGACTACTGGGCTCTGCCACAGAGAAAGGCTTGCTCCTGGCTTGAAAGTCAGGTGGCAGATCCTTCCTGTCAAGGAAGGCTCTAGGGCTCTGGATTCTGGGCTCATAGTGATGCTTGTTTGTAGCGCTTGTGAGAGCACCTAAATTCTGGAGAGGAATGAGATTCCTGAAACATTTGTATTTAGTGCTTCTTACTGCCAAAGCTAGAGACAGCTAAATGTTTAAATAGGTTTTAATCTGAGTCTGAGGTGCCCAGTTCTCTGTACGCACTGGAGTGAGTCTGTTCACCCAGCACAGGGTTTTGACCCCACTGCAGGGACCAGGCTTGGCCTAGCTTGGTCTGACAGCGTAGGTTTCTTGAACCTAATGCTTGGAAATAATAACCTTTAATTTGTCTTCCTGCACAATGTTTTCTGCATCATTTTACTTGTGCTTCTACATAATTAACAGCTAGTAATCTAAGGCTGACTTTAAAAGGCAGGAGTTAGGATGCGTCTGGTCACGTGTCCTAAAGAGTACATGTTCACTCTTCAAGTTGTTTACATACCAAGAATACCGTACTTCCTCACAAAAGAGCATCTTCTCAATCCACAATTTTAAACTATTTTATGAACATGTTTTTGTTGAAAAACCAATGGTAGACTCTTTATAAAAATGTTCTAGCCAACTAAATGTTGCAGATAGATATATACAGGACTCTAGTATGTTTAGTTTGTACGTACACTGTCTTTGTAGTGATTTAATTACAAGAAGTGCATCATAGGGGAAAGTTTTAAAAAAAAATGACTTGTCTAATCTCTGTGTTCACTCACAGGTCTGTATTATATTCAGTGATTTTGGAAAAATGCAGAATGTTTGCAATCTTCTCATTGAAAAGCTAGGGACCTCTGTTACTATCAGTCCACCTCATTTCTACCACTCTCCAGAAGCTGTAGACACCCTTCGGTAAGTTCTTTCTCACTCCACAAATTTTGCAATCTCAGGTTAAAGTTAATATGAATACATCACGTATACTGATTATAACAGGGACAAATAGTTTCTTTGCTGCCTATTTTTATATTTAAGTATTTCAGCATTTTTTTTAATATAACTTTATAAATTAATGCTGTTCAGCGTAGAAAGATACAGCTTGTTCCTTCTACAGTGTCCCTGTGCAAAAGCAGAATGTAATAAAAAAATGTTTTCCCACTGATTTCAATTGGATGTATTATCTACTTTAACATTAGCTAGGTCAACATATTTTGGTTTTGGTTACATCAGCACATATTAGTTTTAATTTGGATTTATGCATGAATGTGTTACCAGACATTGATAATTCTAAGTACTCTTGCCAATTCCCATTACTCTTAGCTGCTGACTAGCTCTGAAATGAACCATGCACGGTCCTTGCTTAGCATCAGACATGCAACTTTGAAGCCCAGGGGCCTTGATATTTTTCCGTGGTTAATTATTCAAACTCGTGTTTCCCCTATTGAGATTGTGGGAGGTGGCAGAGGGGAGCTTATCTTGGATTGGGTTTTACCGCTTTAAAGAATCAGGCCTGTTCCCAGGAAGGGAACAGCTAGCTGCTGCTAACAACTCTGGAGATGTCAGAAGTGTATCTATCTCAAAGGTTTGTGCAGGAGTCTAGCTGGAAATCAGGCCAGTGAGGTTAAACAGGTCCTGGCATGCCTTACAATTGGGCCACCCAAAGGCCTGGAGCAAGAGCTGAACTCTTGCTCTGCACCACACACCTCAAGTGCCTCCAGCGTATATGTGTTTGAAATGCTGCATCATAGTCGATAAGCATGCTGACATTTTCTCCTTGCTGAGTTCCCCCTCAGACTTCTAAATTACCACGCAGAAGCTGGCAGGGGGATGATGTGCCTTGCATCTACCTACCTATGAAAACAGAGGTGTTTGTTGAAAAAATTATTTGGCAGGAATACTTGTACGAGAGTTGGCCCTGCTCGTTATATTGCTGCTTTTCTACCTCTCAGCCGTCAGGTATGTGTTGCTGCTGTCGGAAACACACGTCGAAAAGCTCAAGAAGTCTGTCGATTGTTTGGCCAGTCATTGGGAAAACCCGTATTAATAAGAGAAGAAGAAACAAAAGAGTGGGGAGGCCACATAGACAGTCCACTACCTAATGCCTCAGATTCACTGACTATGCAGGAAAGAATCCAGAATGCAACTGTTTATGCTTCCTGTAGAGTATTTGCTGTATTTGAGATAAAGGGAAAAGAAAACAGAAGAAACAAGTTGCTCTAGAAACATTATTGTGACTGAAACCTTGCATTAAACATCCAAATGCCTTCATTTTTCCCAACATGTACCTTTCATGGAATAGTTTTCAGAAAGAAAATTCTCAAATACTATACATTTGTAGATTTAGTAGAAGTTTTCCAAGTGGATTCCACTGGCCCTCTATATACTTTTTTTAATTTTTTGTTTAATTCATACACTTTTCATACTTTCTTCAGGATTTCTTTTTTTAACTTCACTCTTACGGTAGCAAGTAGGGCTAAGGTAGAATATTTAGAATGCAGTTCATGTATTTATTAAGCCAAAGTAGAAGGCCTCTAACATGTTTTTGCAGGTGCAAGAAATTACATTTAATACAGTTTTATGTCACTCACAAGTCTTCCTTTGCATGAATGATTTGAAAGCATCACAGTACATGCTTTTGTAAAAAAGCAGAGCGGTCCAAATATTGCAGGATTTAACTTATTGCAGCTCTCCCCAGAACTATTTCAGTTACAGCTGGCCTTTATTTAGCTCTGTGCCCTTAAATCAAGGTTACTATTAGCTTTGGAAAGTGTTTAATTTATGCCCATCCCCCCAGCAAAAGGCCAAGATACTTGATATTCAAAACCTTAGGTATTGCTACATGAAGTTTGGCTATATTTAAAAATTTCCTCCCAAATGAGGAAACTGAACCTGATCCCAAGTTCATGGTACACTGAATATGCACTGCATTTATTTCTGCTGAAATGAGTTGTCCAAAATAAATAAGACATGCTTAATAATTTCAGTTTTATTTCTTCATAAGAAATAATTTACATCAACTTCATCCTGGTGTCCATTTGCTCTAGTTTAGAAAGGAAGTTCTGCAGATGTACATGGCATATAAAACACTTAAATACTTCAGTCATGAGGATAGATTTTTTTCAGCCATGGCTGCATAATGTATTTCGATCCATCATAGCCACTGAAATAGGCTTTCATATCAGCGTGGTGTACCTGATAAAATAATTTTTCCAAAGTCAATAGGCATTGGAACTAGCAATATATACAAATTGATACTTTAATGATTCTTTTAAGTTATTAAAGTTGACTTTTCAAAAAGTCCTGTTAGGTGTTAAATACATAATGTATTTAAAGGCACTTTTAGCAGAATTCTTGATACGCTTAGCCATTGTTCTGATGACATGAATGAGGTTTTCTGAAACTCTTGAACTACGCTACAAATCTTGAACATATCTCATGAAATAACAAATGCTAGATCTACACAGGGGTAAATGCATTTAAATCAGCACTATTTCTTAGTGAAGTACTTTCAACTCATTTGTTGCTGGTACAGCTGTTTGCTAGCTTTTTCAGCTGGATCAGTTAGTCCAATTAGGCAGCAGGAGCAGCAGCAGTTGGTGGAACAGTAAAGAGAAATCAAGTGATGGCCATAGGTACCACAATATCCAGCTTTAAGATGCAAATCCACAGAGGCAAATCCATGTTACATGCCGTGTCACGACCTAAAAAGCTTATAATGAGTGAGTTGTTTAGAACTCTCCATTAGGAAATGGTGAGGATGAGTTTAAGCTTTTTCTCCTCCCTTCAATCCCAACACCCTTTAGGAAAGTACACTGCCAATTAGACTTGTAGGAAAGGAGCAGTGAGGGCAATCTGCAGACCTTCTTTTGAACTTGAGGTATAGGCGTGACTAACAAAGTTTGTAATTAATCTCACTCAACTAAACAACTTTCAAAGGTCTGTTTTTTTGAGCTTGATACCATCAGTTCCTCTGCTACTCTGTGGAGAATAAGCCTCTCCTGTTGCTGAATAAAGCAATCTGACATCTTAAAGGCTAGTTTTCACACGAGGTAAACGTTTAAGGTGAGGCATCTGTTTCTCCCCATGGACTATAAAGGTAACTGAAGGTGACCAACTGACATAATGAAAGGTGTGTGGCTTTTTGGCATATAAGTTAGAGCAGTCAAAATCAAATTCTAAATATGTATGACACTCATCTGAGATAGCATGTTCCTGCTGCTGAGTTCAGGCATGTTAGCACATTTTATGTTACAGTGTATGGCTAAAACAGAGGCACACTTTTGACAGAAAGCTTGGAGAATCTTCAGGCCAGCCTAACTTACACGATTTGACTGGGGCTTTCTCCTGAAAGGCAAAAGATGCCAATTCAAATCTCCATTTGGCAGGATCAAGCCTCTCACATGTTAGGTGAATGGTTTAATTACTTGATGTTATTTTGACTATGGATACTGCCACTTTCCAGTTTAAAAGAAAAAGCATCCGCTATACTGCTGGTTCCCTTGAAAAATGCTGCCTGTATGCGGCATGTATGCTTGAAGGCCGTCTTCTGGATCAGACTCCTCTCAGGACTTACACATATTCCAGCTAGCTTAAGAATCAAGTGCACCTCACGTGAGCTAGACATCAAAAGCTACTGAGATCATGATACACACAATTTTAGGCTCCCACAGAGTTTTGCAGTCAAGCAGAGACATATTGTTCAGTCCGGGCAGCATCTGAGCCCGACCTCTTCGAAATGCAGTTTTTTCAAAGGGGAATTGCAAAACCAGTATACTTTGCTAGATCTAGTAGAAAAAGATTAAATGACTTGCCCAAGTCTGATGGGTCAGTGAAATTCTGAAACAAAGTCTACGTCTGCAACAGCCTGTTCACAATAAAAGTCAAGTTGCTAAAATCTGACGAGCAAAAGAACTAAAGAGTTGGATACTTGGAAGCAGGCAGCACCTGATTCTGGTCATTTATAACCTGAAAAATATGTATTTGAGAGTACAGCAATAATTTGCTTATCCATTTCTTCTGCTGATTTTCAGCTGCCTTTGTTATATGAATAGTTAGGATTTACTAAGTCAAAGGCAGCCAACTTGTAAACATACAGGATAACAAACAAGTTACAGTTAAACAGAAAAACAACTACTACCTCTAATCCCATAATAATTGTTATCTCCTGCTCAGGAATGTAAGCTGTAGATTCGCCAAATCCATTTGCTTTGTTAATTAGAATTCGATAGTGAGGAGTATCTTTTAGATCCTGTAAAAATACAAAAAAAAGAAAAAACCACAACACACACCTCAAGGGGAGGTGATGACTAAAGATTACATTATACAATAAGTTAACTTTTCAGTAGATTTACAAATGATAAGAAACCTTCAGTATATATCAGTTTGGAAAATTAAATATAAAACAATAACAAACCTGTAATCTGTGAAGTTCTACTTGGCATATCTGAAACAATCTTCAAAGAAACAATATTCCAAGTAACCTTTTCTCCAGTAAATCTTGCAAGAAACATGACTTAGAACATCCCTGCTTTTGTAAGTAGCTCCCGTAACGGTTTTCTAGTCACCCTTCTTCCTTCACCTTCACAAATTTTTTCAGAAAGGGACTGAAAAAGGGGCAAATCTAGAGCATAATAATACCTCTGACAATCCTGGTCCCCACCCTGGGCATAGCTTAGGGAACACCAGCCACAAAGGAGAAATGTGGCTTACTATTGTTTATTTTTATATTACAGTGCCTAAAAACCTGTCATAGACCAGAGTCCCAGCATAATGAGTACTCATAAACATTCCTGCCCCTAACAACCCACAATCTAAACACAAAAAAAGTGATGGATGAATATAGACAGATAATTGGAGAGCCAGTGAAGCAGTTAGGCAGTACTGGTCAGTGTGACAGGCAGTGGCCTCTGCACAGCAATGTATTAATGAACTCTAGCCAAAGAAAGGCAGGGATGCTGTGAGGAGATGGAGCTGAAAGCGTGGATAATGTTTGGTGAGGATTTGCCAAGCTCAAGCTCAGTAGTTGCCTCTTATGGGCAAAAGCCATTTTGTGTAGCTGATGCATATAATACGATGAGTTAAAAGCTATTTAAGAAAAAAAAAAAAAGGAACCATGTGAGTCATCACTGCTGAAATGAAAGTCATAAAGATGAACACAAGGTCATTGCGAGAACAGAACTAAACAAGATAAGTAAAAAGAATCAGCATGCCTGATGGGGAATATCTGGGTGTACAGTAGGTGACAGTAATATAGAGAGAGGGGAGAAGAAAGCACTGATGCAGATATTTTAGAAGATAAGGATGAGTGGCAGGTGGATAAAATTACAACAGGGAAGGGACAGAGGTCATAACACAGGATTGACTGTCTGCTCCCAGTTGAACACACATTCTCTTCTATAGGCAGAGTTTCTCGTTTTTTCCTCATTTTCAGTCCACTTTTGCAACATGTGAGCAGCCAACCCACAGAGTAAGCAGCACTGTATTATCAGAGCAGCATTGTCAACATAGATTTAGGATCTTATTTTTAAATAAACCAAGGACTTTAGACAATTTCAAAAACTTCAAGAATTTTAACAAAAACATGTTGTTAAATAAAATCTACATTTCAAGTGTCCAGAGCCCCAAAAACATATCTTTTAAACTGAAATTGATTAAACACAAGAGACTTGCGTTTCTTAGGTGCAAGGAAGATATTACTACTTACATCTACACTGGAAGATCAGATAAAGGATTTAAACTCTTCTCAACTTTAACAATGTACCTCAAGAAACTAGTTCAAACATTTTAGGTTGACACTGCTTCTTTAAATACAATGCTGTGTGCTAAAAGTGAGTAATTTTAATTCAGGAGACTGCCAGTACATCCCTGACCAGTGGGGTTTAACCAGTGAGTGCTGCAACTACAAGGCTCTGCTGTGATGACAGAGCAGAATAAGCAGAAGTATCCCTCAGCTACACAGGTGATATGGGACTCGAACTATTTTCCATTAGGTTAGCAGAAAGTCTGTCTGTAATGGCGTTTCTGAGATTTTTTTTTTTAAACCTGAGTTATTCTGTGTCTGTATTAATAAAGTAAGAATTTCATACATTCAAACCTGTTTTGCTGCAGGATATTTGCGTTGTAGCCATTCTTCTGGAGCTTTAGCTTTTGTATCCCATCCAACAATGACTCCTGAATAGCCCAATCTTTTGTGAACTATTACCTGTCCCACGCTGAACTGAATATATTCAGGCTTTGGACTGCGAACGTATGTTGATTCTGGTTTAAAAAAGAAAGCAAGGAAAAGTGCAGTATATTGAACATTTAAACAGATGTTCATCTGATTTCCAGCACAGCAGAACTGGCAGCTATATTACTGGGTGAAGTAAGCAAAGAAAGAGATACTTTATCCCCTTAAAGAGTATTATTACAGTATTTGACTAAGGAAGGTATTTTTGTATCTATACACCTTTGATATTACGCATGGGTCTTAACAGAGTTTTGGGAAGCGTAAACACAAGTATGCGTTGACAATTATTTTTTAACTTTAGCCTTGTATAGAGTATTTTACCATGCTCCACGTAGTCCAACTATCCTAACTTAGTTTTCCCAGTTTGTGTCACAGAATTTCTTCTGTTCAGCATGCCACAGGGATTTTTTTTTTAAGGCAACAGCACTAAGTCAAGATCAAAAGCCTGATCCAGTGGTTATTTATCCTTTTATGAAGCTGGTCTAAATCAGTTCACTTGAATAAAGTGAAAGGTATACCACTGTTCTTTCGTATGTCAGTACAAAATAGGCACGCTCAGATTTATTCAGTATACACATACACGGTAGGATGGTATACAATATTGATAGTTATACAGCATAGAATGAAAAGGTCTCAGATTTTGCATTTTCTGTTTTTTTCCTGTTTTGCTTACTATCAACAATGTTTGGAGAGAAGGGAGGAAAAAAACCCATCAGTTACAAGGGAAGTGTAGATATACACCTCAGAAGACCTTTAGAATACAATATCGCAAGCAAAATCCAAAAGGATTGTAAGACTCCAATACCTGCAAAATAAGAATGGGTTGTTTCTTCATTTTCTCCACTTTTAATTTTCTTTTCTCCATAGTACCAATATCTACAATGTAAAATTAATAAACCAATGTTCAAACACGTTCTTTAGAAACTGAGTTTAGGATAATCGGTCTTCTGATTATTTTAAATTAAGCAATACTGCAAAACATCTGATACAAAATTCATTACAATTTGAAACCCAAACAGAATGACAGTTTTACAGGAACACCACTTTTAGGAGATGTACAAGAAAAATAATTTTTTTTTTTTTTTAATCTTGGTTTTGCTGAAGGCTACAGGAACACTTCAGGTGGACAAATACTTTTCAACAAGATCAAAAATGGAAAAATGTCCTGATTTGTCAGGCTGCATTGTTGAAAATAGCAGCTAATATGGAAGGTTTGGAAGGTCATAGATGTCACCATATTTTTAGGATAATCAGTTCTTTATAGTATTATAAGATATTTAGAAGACGTAAGCATCTCCTACTGTAGCCAAATGATCAAAGGATTGTTTGGTCCCTGAAAGCTTTATCTTTAGAAATCCCTGGAGCTTTCTGTGAAGTCAGAGTAAACAAGTTAAGGGGAACCTGAGTAAAGCACAGTTTCTGTGGATTTTTATTAAAAAGAGAGAATCTTCCTTTTATGTATCACCCTTCTAAGACTTCCCTGGGGGCAAAAAAAAAAAAAAAAAAGGTCTGAATTTTCTGCAATTCAGAGGTACCCCAAGACACCCTTTATTATTTTACCTGGATTAATAAAGGATCTTTGAAGATCCAGACAAAGTAGAAAATTTTGGAGGATTCCTACTGCACAGTAATCAAATCTCACAAACAGCACTTTTAACCTCCCCAGACAAGGACAAGCAACAGTCTTCTTACATTAAAGTGGTGTCTACGATATAGTCTTACTGTTTTTAGACAGCTCACTTTGTCATGAATGTCCAAATTTCTCCTTTTTTCTAAATCTATTTTCTAAATCCCTTAAAAGTTGTCCAGAACAATCATATACAGCATAAGATGTTCACCCCATTTTGTAGAATCTCATCCTACAAACACATATCTGCTGAAAATCATTAATGTGTTAATCCTACTGACTTCACAATCAGACAAATTTGAAGTAGAGGATAACACATGCATAATTACTGCTATGAGTTATGTTTAGTTTTGTATGAAGTCCAGGATGCATATTTGTGTAGAATATAGGCAAAAGGTAGAAAATCCCAAGTCATCTCAACCAGAGACTATGAGACATTTCCCCTTTCTTACTTGCATCATCCCTAGAGGATACCTTCCTGTTAAAAAGGGACAAAGTTTGAACGTTAGACTGAAGTGTAGACAGTATGTAACATCCTACCTTGTCTTTGATAGCCAGAGCTTTAAGTGGTCTGCCCATGCATCCAGACTCAAGTAAGATTTTGTAAAACTGCTCCAGCAGGAAATTAGCCTTTAGTAGTAAAAAGGACCATCACATTATGTTAGTCTATAGAGTTTTTATGGTTTTTTTTTTTTTACTATATATTTAAACTTTAAGGTTTTGCTTCTGTAGCAAAAAGAAAAATGTAAGTCAATGACCAAGAAAAAGGTCTCCAAGAATAATAACTAGATTGCAAATGGATGTCCTTTCAATCACCACTTGTATCAGTAAGCCATATCTAATTTTGGAAAATGCCTTTTTTCATGATTAGGTTGTTTTCTATCTGTACTTAGACCATAGGAATTGCTAAACAGCATCAGAATAGTATTCATTCTGTTGTTTCAACTGTTTTTTGAGAATAACAGTCATAGGCATTTCGAAATGTAATCACAGGACTATTAAAAAGTAGCCCATTTATCCAAAAAGTTTCTGCATAAATCTAAAAGGCTAGTAGTTCAGTCATGCCACAAAACCTGAAAATGATTTAACTCTGGGTTCTCATTCACAAAGTGAGACTTTTTTTTTTTTTAATTTAAAATCATTCTACTCTTTTGCTCTCATTATTTGTTGTATTTGAATTCTACAGATTAATCACACAACCAATATGCTAAGCAGAGTGTATTATGGAAACTGTAAGTCATAAAAGTCTCTCTTTGCATGGTTCATCTTCAAATTATCAGCATTTGCCCATGGTTACCACCACTAAATATTTGAATCTATTGTAGCATTCTCCTCTTTATATTTGGAGACATATGGGTGTGATTCTGTCTAAATAAGTTCTTGATTAGTATACAAGATGGTACTATTTACTTAATTCTATCATTATGACTGCCTTAAGCAACTTACTGTGAAGGAATTTTTGTTGCTTAAGACTCTGCACTGACTCATACTATGCTAGAAAATCTTTTTCAATAGTAAGTGTCCAAGGGCAGTGGAAAGTTAGAAATAGTCTTATTAACTTGAAAAAAGAGATTAAATCCATAGTTACATACATTGGACTCTCCAAAAACAGAATGAGATTAAGATATAGTCCTGCAGTCCTGCAGTTTATAAAGAGATTTCTATATGAAGAAGAAAAATGGCTGTTATTCAAATGCTGATGGGCATCTTTAAACAACTACATATGCTCCCATTAAGCCACAAAAATGTCTAAGGTATGATTTGAATGTTGTTTTTGAGTAGGAATGGCTAGCATCTCCCACCCATACTCCAGCTTTCCAGGACAAAGTGTCATTTGGGATGAGAAAGAGAACTCTCTTCTAAATAAATACAGTAAGGAAGGAGAGACTTACAACCTTTCTGTTACTTGGATGCGCTGAGCGGAGTCTGTTCCATACCACTGGGATATGAAATACTGTGCAGGAAGTGCCGACAGCAGCATGCCAATCTGCAGAAGTGCAGCTGCATTGACGTGAGGCATTCCAACAGGAAGTTTCTTCAAAGACGCTTTCCTGCTCGCTATCTGAAAAGAGGCAAAAAAAGGGAAAGGGGGCGAAAGGTACCAATTGGCTTTGCTAACTGTACAGTGCTTAGAAGTTTTCTTCAGATTATTTTTTTGGCTCACAAGAAAACGCACAAAACATACATATGCATTTCAGTTACATTCAGAGCATATCCCAATTAGATCTAACTGCATTAAAACTTGATGCATTTATTAAAACTAATTGAAGGCTATCTAAAGTAGACAGCTTCACAAGACAGTGAAAGCAAACACGTAGTTCAAGAGTTATATAGAAATCTCTTTCATCTGGAAAGAGACAAAAAAAATAACTAGGAAGTTGTATGATTGCCCAATTTGCAGTAAAAAGCTGCTCTCCCTGAACAACATTCATGGTGCTTCGTTATCTAATAATTAAGTGCATTAAACGTAGTTGACAAGTCAGCTTGATGGACTCAAGATAAATCAATTACAAACAGTGATTATCGTTTATACAGCAGAACTAAAGCATGTTTTTCATTCGGAGTGAAAATGTGTATAGCACTATGCCACAGCAATCATAGTGTGTCGTACTCACATCGCTCTACTAGAAAAGCATTTGACAACACCATTCATTCCACAGGCACCTGCACACCTTATCAAGGCATTAAAATATTAATAGTGAGTCCCTCCATTAAATTAAGATTCATCTTCAGATGAAGAGTCCGTTTACTGCCTTTTCACACCTGTAAGAATTTTTCCAATTAGAACTAGGACTTGCTGAAATTAGAGACATGTATCTTTTACACAAGCATAGGTTTACTGCAACCTTCAAAGAGTTATCTATATAGTATGTGCTTTCCAGTAGTGGCTCTTAAAGCTACTACTGCATACTTTCTAGCAGAGTCCTCAGCTGCAAGCACATGCCAGTTGCTTCCACTCTAGTTTTTGCTATCCTCGTTTACTTCGTTTAAAAAATAATTTAGGTAACTGTCATTTAGAAAGGACATATGTACTTGAGAAGTTAGATTTATTAAAAAGAGGCCTAGCAAAGGTGGGTGGAATCACAAAAACAATGCCGAAGAATGCCTAAGGAATACCGTAAAGGATTCAGAAACATCTGAGTGCATATGATGAGCAGTGAGCGGAAGTCGGATGTTTCCGGTCAGCATTACCCCCTCTAGAGCCAGCAGCAAAGCGAGGAGGTCTCCTAACTTTAGACGTTAGCCGTGCTCGTACACCCACACAGAACTTGCTTGCTAACGTGTATCACGTTGGGAGGAGGGGGGAAAGCGAGGAAGAGCCACAGCCCCGGTCGGGTAAGGAAACCTACTGCTAAAACGCTTTACAGAAAATCGTACGACTTTTATCGCCGCAGGTCTTCCTCACGTTTCTAAAAACAGCTGGATCCACCAGAGAGGGAGAAGGGGGGGTGATGGTGGG